ATAATTAAAATTTAAACTTCTACTGGGTTTTTCATACTAATAAAAAATTATAGGTGGCTCTGTGTTATCAAAATATGGAGGTTTAAAGTTTTGAACGGTAGAGTCATGAAACAAGAGGCTCTCAAGAGCCTGAATCGCTCACCTGTATTTCAGAGGAGAAGATTTTTTAATGTTAGCAAACTTGAACAAATTGTGTAAAATTGTCTTTAAAGGGCAATTTAAGGGGTCAATTGACAATTATGGTCATATTAACTTTTTTGTAGATCTTACTTTGCTGAACATTATTGCTGCTTACAGTTTATATATATCTATAATAATATTCCAAATAATAACAAAAAACTGCAAAATTTTGTTAAAACTACCAATTCGGTGGCAGCAACCCAACAATGGGTTGTTCAATGCGTCTGAAAATTTCAGAGCTGATAGATCTTGACCAATTGAACAACTTTACCCCATGTCAGATTTGCTCTAAAAGCTTTAGTTTTTGAGATATAAGCCAAAAACTGCATTTGACCCCTATGTTCTATTTTTAGCCATGGCGGCCATGTTTGTCGATGGATCAAAACTTCGGATACAATTTATAAACTAGATACCCTAAGGAACATTTAGTTAAAGTTTGAAGGTATTTGGCCCAGTAGTTTCAGAGGAGAAGATTTTTGAAATAGTTTACGACGACAGCTGACGACGGACGCCAAGTGATGGCATAAGCTCACATGGGGCCCTTCGGGTCCCGGTGAGCTAAAATTACTAGACTAGACAAAATACTTGATGTTTGCCATTTTTTTTTAAATATAGATAAAATAATCATCAAGTGTAATATTGGAACGACGTTTATTTTGTTAATTGCAGTTAATGCATTTGCCATGAGACCTATAATTGTGTTGTCTTTTATCAACAATAGTCATGATATCAATAGAGGAAGTTTAGATATGTTCCCTTGGCCCATGATATTGTCATTTAGACCTAGGGGATGTGCTGTCTGTAGTCGTTTCATCCAAGACTTTACTTATTTAATGCATGAAAAGTGAAACTTTGAATGGATTAAATATGTAAATGAAAGGGGCAATATATGGTTTGCAATAATAATTGGCGATGACTTGTGTCAAAGGTTTTAAAATACTGACCAATGAAAATTTACTATACTTTAAGTGACATTCTTCAGGTGATAAGTGCAAATCTTGTTCGATATATACCGCGGCTGCTTGTTTTCAAAACCAATATGACATGTATTCACAATAATGGGTTGTTGATTGCGTAAGTTCAAAGAACAAATATTTCAAGCATGCTCAATTCACAGAGAAACCCCTTTGTAGAGTGGAGGAAAAGACACGACTGCACATTCAGTGACATATTTTGGAATATTTATTTTAACACAATTGAAATAGGTTTCCAACAAAAAAAGTTGGATAGCATCTAGTCTAAAATACACATGAAATGCTGATACATTATAACGATTCCATGCATTTTTTTCTCTTAAGGACTTTTTGTAATTTGGGTAGATGTTTTAGTATTTTATAAATCAATAAACTGTTGACACAGAGATATGTCTCACCTTTTTGTAATGTTGATAGTATAATTCAAATATTGAATCCTAATGGCACTATCTAAACATGTAAACTATGCCTAACATTCAAAGTCAATGAAGTTGAATGAACCATGATCAATAGTGCAGTACCAAATAACCCAATGGAAATGAGAAATGCCAATGCTTATAAAACTGCATACCAAATACAAACAGAACACAGTCAGTAACTATGTGCCATATATAAGCTAAATATATCCAAGGACATGAACAAAGTAGTTTTCATGAGATTTAATATGTGAAAAAGCTGTTATTTTGTCAGCTGCAAGTCAAATAGATCATATCTATTATATATATATCTGCAATTTCTCATGGCCAATACAATTATTTATTTCATTTGTCAGCTCAATCCATCGTAAGATGGTTTCCTGATGATGTAATTTGGGTAGGGTGAACTGAAATTCCCTGTTATATATGTTGTTACAAAATTTCAAAATGGTTTGTGAATAAAACCAAATTAAAGCATGGTTACTAAGGGGAGATAATAAATAATAAAACATAAAAAAAAAAACAATGTAACATTTTATTTGTCATCTATTGCCAAGCTACAAAATTTCAGGGGAATCTGAGCATTGTGTTGAGCATGTGTAGCAGGTAACTAAACAACAATTGAAAATCTTATGCAAAATTTACAACTGATTTCTATTGAAAGCAATGGTTGAACTAAAGTCTTATGACAGTGTTTTAATCAAATATTTCTATTCTACATCTATTGCACTTAAACAATTTACACATATTCAATATCCAAATTGTATAGATTTGTTTTATACTTACAAGATATCAAATATATTTTCAGTTTTATATTTATTAAAAAAAAAAAAAATTTTAAATAGGTAGTCCATTTAGAAGTATCTAATTTGTATTTAGAACCTTAAAAGAATTCAGTGCTGACTTTCAGTTGCATTACAATTTGAACATGTACTGTTGACATTGATTGGCTAAAAATTTTCAACTAAACATAGACAGGGTGAATATAAGAGATCATCAGTAACATTCTGTATTTTAAGGGCACACCATTTTGAAGTTAACATAATGACACAGACAGGACTTACAGGGCAGTACATTTTTATGCGTGAAGAAAAATAAAATTCAATGAAAACTTTTTTAAATTCCATTAAATATCTAAAACAATATCAATGTTCTTCTTCTTACATTATTAAAGGATTTAGATGCTTAAGTTTTTTAAATGCTGAATGTTTCCAATTGGTCACCATATCTTAGCTCTGTAGGAAACTTTGTAGTGGAAATGTATTCAATGAAAAAAAGATTTATATTTATTTAGTTTATTCCATGTTTCCTTGGAAGTTTTAATATTTCCAAAACTATTAACAAATTACCAGAAATTGTACCGTTGTGATAGTCATTTTGATTTGATTATATATAATATTCTAGAAGTAGCATACTTTCAAGACTTAATTGTTGAGTACATCATGATAATTACATTTTTTCAAGTTTCTAAACACAGTTTACTTTAATCTAAATTACAAGTTTTTGACAAACCAAATACCAGTAATCATTGCTCAATGAAAGCGCCATTACTTGAAAAACGCTCAAAATTGAAATTGATGTCTAAAAAAAAGGATGCTTTGACTGTTTTCTACCATTTATAAAATAAAAACATGACTCACTTAGGATTTTTTATGCAAATAAATACCCTCATCTATATCAGAATAAGTAACAATTTGGTGTGACCTTAAAATACATATGTGTGTTAACAAATACAGAAAATACTGTAAATTCAGAAATTATTGCGATGTTTTTATTATTGCGAAAAATGCGACAGGGTTAAAATCGCAATAATTTAAACTCGCATTTTGAAATTTTTTATATGAATTAAACAGGATTTTTCTCAATATCGCAAAAATTAAAATCGCATTTTAGTCTAAAATGACAAAATCGCAATAATAAATGCACGCAAGAATTTCTGAATTTACAGTAGCCTATAAGCAAAACAAAAAAATGTCAGGAAAAGACTTAAGACAACATATGACTAGAAACATTACAGAACAGAACATAAAAAGATAAGAACAGATAAAGTTAGTGTACAAATTTCCAATTCTTTATTTTTTTCAGTTTTTTCTCTTTCATATTATCTCCAAATTCCATTTTTCTCTCACAGTCTATGTAAGAAGAAAAAGAAAAGAACAAATTAAAAGCCAGATACACAGTGTTATTAAAATAAATTCATATTTAGGATATTTTTTTCATATCTATCCAAATATAATTATTTTCTTCCTTTCACATACAAGCTTGAAAGGTATATTTACCAAACATCATGCATTATTCATTATGACACAAATTTATAAAAAAATATTAAATTATCAGCAATTGCATTTCCATACTGAAAAATTAAATCCTTGAAAAAAGTATTTAACAGGTACAGGAATGCAATTTAACATGCAAAATAAAAGTTGATATATAAAGCACACATATTCTGTAAGGAAAATGATTGGAATTTTAATATATATACAAATTATATACATGCTGTTTAACAATATATACAAATAACATGAACTATATCATACTACAGCTAAAGGCTTTATCACAATGAAATCAACAGCTCTCAAGTAATTTAACAGACTTTCTAGTATAAAGTGATCAATATTCGTGAGAGGTTTTATTTTTGCTTATTTCCTAATTAGGACAACATTATTTATATATACCTTGCATCTATTTACCCTTAAAATCAGTCAAGAACAAAATTAACCCGAAAGTAAAATTTCTAGGAAAAGTTTTGGGCCTTTAAATTGCTTAATCTAAACTTCTTTAAATTGAAACCTTGGGCAAAGTTTTGCTTTTAGAAATTGTTAATTTTAAACGCCCCAAAATAAAACTTTACAGTGCAGCTGTTATGACATATATTGTATCCAAGATGAGTCAGGACCACATGTACAGCTTAAATATCTTAATCCATGATTTTATTATCTCCCTTTGCGTGTATTTGACTTATCTCCCTTAGTGTGTATTTGACTTTTTCATATTGGTACCTGACAAATTTGTAAAAAGAATTCATTGAATAGGAGAAAAAAATTTATGACCTTAGTTAGACAAATCTTTAAGTATCTTTACAAAAAATTGAGAACTCTATTCCCCAAACTATCCTCCTGTGTTAAATTACATAGCAAAATAACCAACTCGTCAATGGTTTATCATCAGTGGTTAAAACATGGTAACAAAATTCCTGACAGAACCATTGTGTCAAAATTTGGGGAAAGTAAAATGTGTACTTCACTCAATGAATTCAACACAGCTTTTATGTCAACTTGCCAAAACAAAATAATGAAAGAAAAAAAATTGTCTCAAAGTTATTTATGTGTGCGGAATTACTGCTTTAAACATAAGTTTTAAAGTATCAGATTTAAGCAGGTCTATACATCATTTCATAAAAAGTCTTACAACAAAAACTGATTCTAACTTACTAAGATTGATTTTTTACATTTTCTGATACTATTTTAAATTTTCTTTTTCTTTTTAAACAAGTTTCTTTATTTGAAGAAAAGGTGAAATGAAACAGAAGCCAAAAAGGCATTTAATTAAATACAAATCAAGTTTTGAGATGCATTCAAAAAATATCAAGACCCCTTCTATTTTTAAGTTCATACATGTTTAAATACAAGTAGATGTGAGGTATATGTCAATGAAACAGAAACCCAACAACACAAAAAACCAAAAGATACAGGTTAAATCTAGAAAAGTAAATTTTTCCATTTAACATATTTAACAAATCTCACTTCCTGTCAGTGACGATAAACTATTTGTCAACGCAGATATAAGGCATTCTATAAATAAACAATATTATAAATCTATTATACGGATTATGACACCAATTCTATAAATAAACAATACTATAAATCTATTTTTAGGATTATGACACCCATTCTATATATAAACAGGATTATAAATTTATTTTAAGGATTGTAACACCCAAGTATATACATATAAATATAAATTTTGTATAAAAATCCCTCAGCTGTGTAATATGGGTAGATAACACATTCAAACATGAAAAAAAGTTTTCTGGATAACAGGAAAAAAGTAATTTCAACAATATATAGAATTTTCTTATATTCTATTGGTTAATAACCAGGTCATGTGTTGCTGTCAACAGCCTTCATAACACATAAAAGCAAAATACTATATTTTACATAGCAATTATCAAATCTGTTGAATCTAAAATTAAAAATTCAGGAATTGTCATGCAGGTACAGGAGTAAATGCCAGTTGTTTATTAAATTGAAATTTATACATCTCCTTATGTAAATAACCACATTTTTTTATCATTGTATAGACAGGCAAACCTGCAAATGTGTTAATATAGGATTTGAAATGTAAATTTTACATCATTAAGAATCAGACATTTCAATCCCTAAAACTCCAACAAAACTAAGAATGGAGTGTCAATGTTTCTTTTATAATATAATTTTGAACATTTGTTAAGTTTTTTTTCTTTACAACAAATAGCAAGTGGTGTGGTAAATTGTGAGTTGTCTCCCCTAAACCTGCTGTGTAAAGTTATACTATACAATTAATTTCACTGATGCACTGTATTCAAGGTGTGAAAATGAATATTTATTATGCATAGCTAAATATTCTCATTGTGAACAAATATAAGTAGAGTGTTGAACTTTAAAAGGGAAGAATAGTTCTGCTATTTAAGAATTTTTCCAAACTTAAACAAAAGCTATAAAATTGATCTATACAAAAATGTAAGAGTTATCTTTCTTATGGTTGGAATCAGTTTCCATCAAACTTTAAAGATTCTTTTGTTATCCAGAAAACCATGAATTTAAAGCTTAATGAATCACTTGATATAAAATAAAAATACAAATGGTGAAAAAATTGTAAATTTGAAATCTCAATGCTTAATAGTAATAAGCGGTATTATTAGTCAGAGTAATTATGTAAAGTGATTAATAGATTTACAAATCATTTCTAAAAGATTTTACAAAATCAAGTTTAAGTGACAAATAATTAATTAAAATTTTCCTTAAATTATCTGAATTTAATTTTAAACATATAATTTAAAATAATTTCCAAATGTATGTTGTAAATGTCTCTTCAAAAGAACAAAAGGAAATACAAAGGTTTCAAAAGAAAAAAAAACTGTCAATGTATTTGTTCAAGGATTCACAGATATGGCAAGTTCTAATTGGCTTCACAAGTTAAATGGCAATTTGAAATTGCCATTGTAACAATGAAATTATGGATTAAAAACATTATGAAATTACATCTTCATTTATATTTTTCATTGCATAACCTAATGTACCTGTCAAAAGGTCAACCATTACGTCTGAACACATAAGATATTGAACTGTTAATATATATCTGTCATTAATGAATGAATTGTCTGACATTATAAAAAAAAGGGGGGATGACAAGTATTCTTAAATATAAAATTCATAAATTGCTGTTTTTAACAAAAAAATTTAGTTCCTACAAAAAACTGCTGTAGTTTTTACAGAACATTCCATGATGCAATAAAACAAAAGAATAAAATTGACATTAACTAAACAGATATATTTACTTTTCATCCATTAGTGATACATATGTGATAAAAGTCAATTAACACTAAGATTGATATTTAGGCTATAAGACTCATGCCAGCAAGACTTTTTGATAAACCTTAATTTTTACAGAATATTTTCAGAATTTATGTATGAGGATTGGATGTAGCTGTTTTTTTTTTTTAATTTGCCATCAAAATAATAACATCAGTATGGTTAAAAAAAATCACCAACTAGCAGCTTCATGGTCTATACAAAAATTTGTTAGGATAAAGATCACATATTGCCACGACCTCTGACCTTTTACAAACATCTAGAAGAGATCAACAACCTTGAAAAAAAAACTGACAAAATTCTTGTATAAAATACAAAATTTATAGATGCAAATTTCAGTCTCTACACAATGCTTAAAAATGTATAGTTTTTTACAGAGGTGTAATTAATCTATATTTGTATATTTCAACATTAACATTGTATCCAATCAAACTTAAGCAATAGTAGTATCAGGCCTTTGTGTCAGGAGGCATTAAACCTTACCAGTGGCTTGCAGTTTCAGAATGTAAGGTATTATGGGTAAACTGTCACACATGTGATCAAATATTCACTGTTAAGGATGTTCGCTCCTCTTGTTTTTGAATTTATGCTAGATATTCCGAATCCTCTGGTTTTATCCATGTAGTGCCATTAAACATTTTGCCCACTAACCCCTACATTTCTTTCCATAATTTGATTACATGTAGTTTAAAATGTCATCTTGGAAAATCTAATAAAATCCTTCTTATTTTTTCATTGTTTTTGAAAGAAAAAAAAGGTGCCAATGTTAAATGTATGAAAAATCAAGAGAGAATTATTTCCAGCCAAATTTTCAATGGCTTATATCTCGAAAACAAGCTCACCGACCCTTCATTTTTTTCTGCTTTTCTAGTTTCTTTATTTATATACTATCAATTTATAACAGTCTTTCAAAAAGCTTGTTATTTTGAAACAGAGTAACAAACATCCTTAAGAACCTTTTTCACCAATCACAACATTTAAACATGTTTATTTAAAAATATTACCAGGAATGAATCAGATTGAGATTTGTCCTTCATTCTAAAAATGTGAAAGTTCAACAAGATTTTTTTTACCACTCTTCACTTAATTATAATTATCTTCCTATAGTGAAACACTGAGAAATTTTTGCTAAGCCTGGCAATCACAAATTTTTGGCATTTTAGCATGTATATCTAACACCATAAAAACATCATCTTTTATAAAATAATTTCAAAAATTTCAAGGATGATAGGTGTGTAGTCCATGCTATTTTCCCAAATGCAACTTGACAACTCTCAATTACATACATTTTGACATAAAAGTGGTTACATTTCTGTAACTCAGTTTACCCTCTAACTAAATGACCTATTGTCCTTTATGTCAATTCAGTATTTTTATACAAGTTGTGTAGAAATATAACTATGATCATGATGAAATCTTTCTATAGGAAAAGAAAAATAAATTATATTGACGTACATATATTTCATTATGATACATTACAGTAACAAAACTATATATAGTAACATGATAATGAAAGAACTGTATAACCATGGAAACAACAAACATCCTTTTATGTCTTTCATCCAATCAGAAGCATAGATACATTAAGAGCTTCATAACCATGGTAACATCCAACTAAAGCACTATCTGTGAAATATATACATTTCTGTTGATCAGACAGGAGTCCTGTGATAAACTACGCTACTCTCGTTAATTCTGAAAAGTAAAAATAAAACAGTGATTAGAATATCATTGTTATATGAGCTGCATCAGATAGAAATCGACCTTATGCAAGTGCACGTATACATATACATGTATAAGACTTTGAATGATTTTGGAACATTCCACTCTGTCCAAAATCAAACTTTTATATTATGGTCAATAATATTGTGTTTAAATTGAAAAAAAAAATTGTCAAGTAGAACAATTATTGTCGTCAAAATACAAAACCAAATCAAAATTTGTTTAAGGCTGAGCTGGAGTACCTAAATAAACTCATCATAGATACCAGGATTGAAATTTTGTATTTGTACCAGACGCGCGTTTCGTCTACAAAAGACTCATCAGTGACGCTCGAATCAAAAAAAGTTAAAAAGGCCAAATACAGTACGAAGTTGAAGAGCATTTAGGAACATTAAATGTTCGCAAATAGATTTTTCTTAAACTTCTCTAAAAGACTTCTGGGTGAATGTACTTTCAAATTTCAATATAAAAACTTGGGATTAAACACCTTGTTTTTTTTTGTTAATATACATTAAAATTAACAAAATCACACTTTATTTTATATGGGTTACATACATTTGTAAGGGAAACTTAATTTTTCCTTATTGAGAAAACATTAAACGATAGAACTGGTTAAAATTCACAAAGAGAAATGCTTTTTATAAATACTTCTGAATGTCAAATACAAATAGGTGGTCACAGGCCTTGTTTTCTTAAAAAGTTCAAAAAAATATAAATTGTCTTATCAAATTCAAAATAATTATCTGCCTTTGATTTTAAAAAGATTTTTTCTGAAAATTTTAAATACACTTTACGACATTTAATTTTTTGATAGTCTAATCTTAAAATTTCAAGTTTTAGATTTTTCTGTTGTATATTGAACAATACTTGGTATAATGTCTTCCAACCAATAAAGTATTTTTGCAACATGCCCAGAAGAGATGCTCAGAAAAAGACACCCAATCTACCTTAAAAAAAATATTTTGGAGCCAACAGAATACTTACTCATCTTTGTGATTGAGGCAGATCTATAACATTTAACTTGACATCATGAGGACAAACATGTTCATACCCTCCTTTACTGGACATCTGATTCTGTACAGTGGTTAACTGCAATAAAAAATAAACATGAATAAAAATACTGACAGAATTGTAAATTCATTGGGAATTCAAATTTACTAGAATTAACAAGAATGCAACAGTGTTGTGCTTAACATACCCCCACTTTTAATTCAATTTACTAGGAAAACAGGAAGCATGTGTCTGACAGAATAACCCACAGGTCATCTGAAAAATTTGTTAGCCTCAAGGAGGAAGATTTTCACTCTGCCTATAACCAACAAAAAAGTCTAATCATGTGATTATTTGTTTCTGTGAACCCTGAGGGTTCTCACATATACATTAACTGCTCTTGTAGTCTTTCTGAATAACAGAAATCTCTAGTTACTGTTTTTAGAAATACATCTTTTCTTGGACTTGGGACATTACGAATACAGCTTCCTTAAGTGTTCACCTGCATTATAGTAGTTAATTGATCTAATGAATATGCATTAGCATTTTACAGTTGCTATAGAGATATGTTTTAATCGAGGCTGATTGATATCCAACATCAGTAGTTAATTAAATTGGAGTCACAAATGTTAAGTTCTGAAATACAAGCTTTGTTCACATTGGAGATTAGATTTTAAGCGAAAAAAGCAACCGTCAATTCAATGGATAGGCCGTTTTTAAGATTTTAAAACTGAGCCATTTTAGCAAATTCTATTTAAGCAGCAATTAAAATTATACGTCCAGAAAAGATACAAACAAACAAGGAGTTTATTAAATTGTTCCTATGTAAATTAAAATTGCAAAAATGGTATTATTATACTCATATATTATTTAATTCGATAAATATTGGAACAAAACATCCTTTATAGTTATCAAAATACAAACTAAAATAAACATGATAAATAGAAAATAAATTAAAGAAAAATAAACTGTACTCTCAATTCTCTTTGAAAAATTCCCATTTGATCCTTACAGAACTGTTGAGATATGTAAAATACAGATATAAGATGCTGCAACGAGTACTCAACATTCGAGTTATAAAAATTAATTTTTGCAGTATGAAGATGATTCTGAAATAATGAAATGTTTGGGGGGTGATATATGTATATGCTCTAGCAGTCAGGCAGTGGACAAGTAATAATACAGGGTCGGAGATTAAAAAGTGAATGTCTATTATAGACACTGACCATGCTGAGTGATCATGGTGATGATAGATACAGTCAGAGATATAATAATGAATTTCTATTTATAGTAATCATGGTAACTATAAGGCTTTACATTTTTTCAAAATATAAATAAGGAAACAAATGCAATAAAAAGACAATGCGATGATAAATATTTTTTTTTTTTTCATGAAATACATGAAATACGAAGCTGTAGCTATACTAGCTACAAACAATAAATTTCAATAAAGATGAAATTTCGTAAAGAAAAAAAAGTTAATATTTATAATCTAAAAATGATTCTTTTGTAAATTAAAATTACATGGTCAATTCTCTTGTTTTTAATTGGTATGTGAAACCCTACAAAAATAAATCAGATTAAAAGTTTAAGTAGCAAGTGCATAACATCATGTCCCATCTAAAGAAGAATCAGTGCAAGTTTCTTGGAATTATGTCAATTCATTGTCCAGGAGTAGAGGCAATCTGTATTCATAAGCACATCTACAGGGTCTATTTGACAGAGCTCGTAGAGTATTTTTGGTGATAAAATGGACAATAGCGTAACAAATTACCGTTTGTATTTGTATTTATAAGCAAAAAATAGCACAAATTAGTACCAAATTATTTACTGATATCGATTTTTCTTAAAACAAATATCGGTATATTGGACAGGCATTTGCAAAATATTGCATATAGGACATGAGTTATACTTACTGAATTGGCCTTGTTATTCCTGCTTTCTTCTGCCTATCACACAGTCGTATAAAAACAACATTATATTCTTGTTGATTTACAAAAGGATAAGTTATGAAATGAAGACTTGAGATTTGTTTGAACAAACTGATTTAAGTATAAAGTTAAGGTTACAAACTGTTTCTATTCTTATTGACCTGATTGCAATTGGAGCTTGTTGCCTGGGGTATAATTGAGATCCAACATTGAGATCCACCATATCTTGAATAAATATGATAGCCAATGACTAAACCATATATTGTTTTTCAAAAATGGTTTTAATTCAGAATTAACAAAACAGAATACTGCTTAGGGTTTTGAACAATCATCATGATCATGATTCATTTCATTAAATTTTTTCAAAACAAAAACTCTTTTCCTTTTTTTCATTTTGACTTAAGCCAGGAAGCTACCTCTAATTTCCAAAACAGCACCTAATAATGGAATATTCAGTGGCTGCCTCCTACTCTCCATGTTGCACTGTTATCTTTCAGAAAAGATTTCTTTAACAAGAATAGTATGCCCAACATTGAACAGCAGTTACATTAAGAACCCATGTCAATTTCCTACATCTTACATAAAAAATATCATGCATCTTTATATAACATTATCTGATGTTTCAAACCAAAAAGGTATTTAGGTCCATAATTGCATTTCTTTTTTTTTTTAAAGAAAGCACCTTGCCTAGGTTTGTTCAATATGTACAAAATTTGTACAGGTAGTTTATTATAAAAAGTTTGCATACCAAATAGTTATGATAGTTTGAAGGCTTTTGTCTGAATCAAGAGATTCATCACACAAGCAAAAATGATTATGTGGAAAAAAATGTTAATACCATCTACACATGAAACATGAAAATGTAGACTAAATAGAAATAAAGTTATTCTTGGCTAAAGTTCACCTCATAACTTAATAACCATGACAACACTTACATTTAATGAATTTCTAGCTTCTCCTGATCCTATGTGAGCAGTGTGTCGGAATTCAGTAGGCTCGCCTATCATACTGGGATCTAGTCGTCGCCGCCTCTTCTGGGGCAAATAGAAGAAATAAATAATTAACAAAGACTCATTCCACCCTATATGTTCAGGTGTTACTTTTGTAAGGAAACATTTCTTGCTTATAAAAAAAAAGATAGGAATTTGACTTTATAAGACCGTTTATGTCTGTGATTAGATGACATTGTTTCTTTACTATGTTTGCGATTAGATGACATTGTTTCTTTACTATGTTTGTGATTAGATGAAAGTGTTTCTTTACTATGTTTGTGATTAGATGAAAGTCATGAACATGATGAAAGTGTTTCTTTACTATGTTTGTGATTAGATGAAAGTCATGAACATGATGAAAGTGTTTCTTTACTATGTTTGTGATTTGATGAAAGTGTTTCTTTACTATGTTTGTGATTTCTAGGAATTTGACTTTATAAGACCGTTTATGTCTGTGATTAGATGACAGTGTTTCTTTACTATGTTTGTGATTAGATGACAGTGTTTCTTTACTATGTTTGTGATTAGATGAAAGTGTTTCTTTACTATGTTTGTGATTAGATGAAAGTGTTTCTTTACTATGTTTGTGATTAGATGAAAGTGTTTCTTTACTATGTTTGTGATTAGATGACAGTGTTTCTTTACTATGTTTGTGATTAGATGACAGTGTTTCTCTACTATCATTTGACTATGTTTGTGATTTGATGAAAGTGTTTCCTTACTATGTTTGTGATTAGATGAGAGTGTTTCTTAACTATATTGTGATAAGATGACAGTATTTCTTTACTATGTTTGTGATTAGATGAAAGTGTTTCTTTACTATGTTTGTGATTAGATGACAGTGTTTCTTTACTATGTTTGTGATTAGATGAAAGTGTTTCTTTACTATGTTTGTGATTAGATGAAAGTCATGAACATGATGAAAGTGTTTCTTTACTATGTTTGTGATTAGATGAAAGTGTTTCTTTACTATGTTTGTGATTTGATGAAAGTGTTTCCTTACTATGTTTGTGATTAGATGAAAGTGTTTCTTTACTATGTTTGTGATTTGATGAAAGTGTTTCCTTACTATGTTTGTGATTAGATGAAAGTGTTTCTTTACTATGTTTGTGATTAGATGAATGTGTTTCTTTACTATGTTTGTGATTAGATGAAAGTGTTTCTTTACCATCTTTACTATGTTTGTGATTAGATGAAAGTGTTTCTTTACTATGTTTGTGATTAGATGAAAGTGTTTCTTTACTATGTTTGTGATTAGATGACAGTATTTCTTTACCATGTTTGTGATTAGATGACAGTGTTTCTTTACTATGTTTGTGATTAGATGACAGTGTTTCTTTACTATGTTTGTGATTAGATGAAAGTGTTTCTTTACTATGTTTGTGATTAGATGACAGTGTTTCTTTACTATGTTTGTGATTAGATGACAGTGTTTCTTCACATTTCTGTCAGGTCTTTTATTATGTATACTGTGGATTCATTCATTTTCGTAGGTTCCAATTTTCATGGATTGAGAAAACATTAATTTTTTATTGATATTCTATTTCATGGTTGAGCATCTGCATACACACCTACAGAAAATGTGTACATCGTTGAACGTTTAAATTCCTGGTTCATCTGTACCAATGAAATCCTCATAAAAATGTGTGTGTTCTCAGTGTTCTCATTGAAAATTTCCTTTAAAAATAGTACCACACTTGTAATACATTCTATTATACCATCTATTCAGATAGGTCGCATGGTGGTGCAAGGCCTGTGGGAGAACACTTCATTCCATAGTTTTTCATTCAGTCATTAGAAAACTTAGAGAAACAATGCCTACTACTTTAACCCATTACATTTCCTTATGATATTTCTCTAGACTCTCAACATTGCTCATTGTTAAATTTTCAATTCTAAAGTACTTAAAACATTGTAGGAAACTTACCATTAAGTGGATAAACAATTATATTGTGGTGCAATCTATACCTATTTCTATTGAACAGTTCATTCACATAATCATTTGATAATTGATGTGAAAATGAAGTGTGGAATATACAGGTTTTTTTGGACTGATTTTTTATCTAGGGAAAACCATTTTCTATTGGAATAAGCCAAAGTAAACATGGTTAACTTGACTTTTCAAAATGTAATGCTAAAAAGACTGCAATGAAATTATGCAAGAATAAAACTGACAGCAATAATTTTTTCTTGTCATGTTTGTCTGAAAGTCAAGGTTGTACTATTTTTTTGTCATGTTCATAATTTGTCTGAATGTCTAGGTTATAATTTTTTCTTCTAATTTGTATGAATGTCAAGGCTGTACTTTTATTGTCATGTTTGTAATTTGTCTGAATTTCAAAGTTTTACTTTTTTCTGGTAATTTGTCTGAATGTCAAGGTGATGCTTTTTTTTTTGTTATGTTCTTAATTTGTCTGAATGTCAAGGTTATACTGTTTTTTGCCATGTTTGTAATTTGCCTGAATGTCAAGGTCATACTTTTTTTTTGTCATGTTTGTAATTTGTCTAAATGTGAAAGTTATACTTTTTATTGCAATTTGTCTGAATGTCAAGGTTATACTTACAGGTTGAGGCTGTTCAGCTATGCAGCAGGTAAAACAAAATAAACCATCCCCCATCATTACAGAACAATATCTAGTGATGCTTCACAATATCACAGTCTGTCAACAGAAGTCACAAAACACCACAGGATGGTACACTAAAAACGATAAGGAAATTCAACTTTGCAGAGGGGTACTCAAAGTCTGTATGTTATATACGAAATCACAGATTGGTTTATAAACAGAGCCGAGATTCCTGAAATAAAGCCTGGATATGCTGAGATCACAAGAGGTACACAAGTGGATTATGGATACGGTTATCTCTTGGTTATGATGAGATCAGAAATAACTCTCACAGATAGATATATATATCCTTCTTCTGTAGTTCAAACAAATTTGAGGTATCAATGAAGTAGTCGTTGTGTTCGCAAATTCCAAATTCAATATTCTTGGAATGAATACTAATTTATTTTCAAACACAAAGGGGGAGAACTACTTTGGAATATCCTGTTTGGAATGTTTTAACTAATGAATTATCTCCCCCTGATTTTGTACCGTATTTCTGTTCTGTCCCTCTCTACTTTTCTGAAAAAAAAAAAAAAAAAATTAATTGAACATGTACAATGTAAACAAAAATTGTTTAAGAATAAAATAACTCTGTATGAATAACACATCGCCAAGAGGGTGATAGTCTGATTTTTATCTACAAAAAAAACATTGTGTCAACTATCTCAGCTATAGGTTATTCATAAATATAAGGAGATGTGGTATGATTGCTATGAGACAACAATACACTAGCTATATATATAGAGTCCTAATGATGTTTATGTGAGCAACTATAGGTCACCGTACATCATGTCGTACATCATTGAACAATCAGCAAAACCCAAACAGTCTAGTCAACAATAAAAAAGACTCTGGCGAAATGTTTAGTTTATCGTACTTTTCTGTCATTATCTCTTTCAAAATAGTTTTGCCAGTGTTTTTATTGTTTAAAAAGAGAGGGTAAAATAAAAACAAACTGTTACCCATTGAGCCATGTGTTAAGAGTAGAATATTTCCTCCTCATACATGTATTAACCAATCAACAAATGGGAGTTAAACAGGAAGTTTAATATATATGTATTGTTACTATTCTATTGATAAGGGGCTCTGTTGCTGAGTGGTCTAGATGTAGTTCATCTGAGTGGTCACTTGCTTATATAAAGTTCTCTCAGGTTGTTAGTTCAAAACCAGTTCGGGGTAATCATGGTGATGTGTGTTCAACTCTGATCTTTATTTGACATGTATTGCCAGTCTTACTGCTGACAGTCGCCGATCTCTCAGAGTACTCCTAATCTCCCACCATCAATAAAAAGTGACCACCAAGATATAACCAAGAACTATGTAAATGGGGTAAAAAACCAACAAACAAACAAATTATTTTAATGATCAGTGCTCAGTATTACAAAAATAACAAAAATAAATGTGGATAGTGTCCACATGTGTCCACAGATGATGCCCCCGCTTGCATATCATATAGTTATAAAGGGAAATAACTGAAGAATGGTAAAAGTGACGCTACCCAAATTTGAACTTGATCTGAGTTTTGTGGTAATAAGCATTGTGTGCAAGTCTCATAACATTTGGTTGAGGCTAACTTAAGTAGAGAACAGAAACTAAAAATTCAGCAATTATTCTATTTGTAAACACGCATAACTCTAGAACGGTTGTGTATAAGTTTTATAACATTTAGCTGAGACAAACTAAAGTTAGAGAATGGAAACGAAAAATTCAGCAATTTTTATGTTTATAAAGGGACATAGCTCAAGAATGGTAAAACTGTTGCCACCAAATTTCGTACTTAATCTGTATTATGTAGTAATAAGCATTGTGTATAAGTTTCATAACATTTGGTTAAGGCAAACTAAAGTAAGAAAAAGGAAACAAAAAATTTGTACTTGATCTTAGTTTTGTGGTAATGAATATTGTGTATAGGTTTCATAATGTTTGGTTGAGGCAAAACTTAAGTTACATAATGGAAACTAAAAATTTTGCAATCTTTTGATTTATAAAGGGCATAACTCAATAAGGGTTAAAGTGACAATACCCAAATTCAACTTGATTTGTGTTTTATCAGCGGAAGTCAAAATTAAACATTGCATTGTATAAAGCATTGATTGTAGTTGATTCAACTATAATCATGGACAAAGGAAGATCACTCAATTTTTAATAAAAATTACTTGATATTTAGAAGAAAATAAAAATTTTGTAATTTTCCATTTCTAAACATGCTAAAGGGGCATATATCTAGAACAGTTAAAGTGACGTCACCAAAATTCAAAATTGATCTGTGTTTTGTGGTAATAAGCATTGTGTATAAGTTTCATAACATTTGGTTGAGGCAAACTAAAACTATAGAACAGAAACGAAAAATTCAGCAATTTTTCCATTTGTAAAGGGACATAACTCTAGAATGATAAAAGTGATGCCACCAAAATTCAAACTTGATCTGTGTTTTGTGGTAATAAGCATTGTGTATAAGTTTCATAACATTTGGTTGAGGCAAACTTAAGTTACAGAACTGAAACCAATTTTGGGACGTACGTACGTTCGTTTGTACGTACATACTTACGTACATACAGACGGACAAGGGTAAAACTTAATGCCCCCTCCGCTACAGCAGGGGCATAGAAATAATAATCATAAATTCTTTATTCAAACAGGGTAAACATAGTTACAACAAACCTTAATCTTCTCTGAGGTCCTCACATACAAATTAAAATACAATAAAAAAACAGATATTTGTACATTGTTTATTTACTATCCTATTATTCAATGCATCATTATAAAAGATAAAACAGTTAAAGAGGTACATTTCGTAAAAACAATATATGTAATATGCAACATGTACAAATCATAATAATACATTGAACTGTCAAAAGTAATCTCGATACTTTGTTTAAAAGTCATGAAAGTATAGGATTTCAAAACTTACGGTGTACAGGCTAACTGTTGAAAACCTCAGATAATGACCTATTAGGCCAACTAAAATTAATTAGTAGATTTTCATCCAAGTTTTTGAAAAAAATGGGGTGGGTGGGAGAATTTTATTTTTTAATTATTATTTCCTCCGAAACCTTAATGTGTTCGTTGTATGGGGTAAATCTAAGGGATTGCTATAATACATTGTACACGTTGGCAGACTTTTTGTACTCATTCGATCATAAATCGCACAAGTTTGTGCTTGCATCAATTTCTACATTCCAGTCATGTTTTTTGTACCAATGAGTTCCACATTTCTTGCACTTTGAATATCATTCACAGTCCAAATCTCCTGACACAAAGTCATTGTATAAATAGAAAAATCCACGGTTTTCTAATCACTGAAATTTGTGACAAACTGCGATTTGTGTTCTTGGACACCGCCTATTACTTGCAACCCAAATTTTCCATGCCCTTCCCATAATCAATCTCTTATTTCAGAAGATAATAGCGGCAGTTACTGGTAAGGAAATCAGCAAAATCTGAAAATGTAAACTTTTAAAAATAAAAATAATCGGGGCTTGATGATTTTAGAGGGGCGGGCAGGGATGAAATCTATCAATTAATTTTAATTGGCCTTTAAATCATCCTTTTTGGTAAGTATAAAAATGAGAAGATGTGGTATGATTTCCAATGAGACAACTCTCCACAAGAGACCAAATAACATAGAAGTTAACAACTATAGGTCACTTACGGTCTTCAACAATGAGCAAAACCCATACTGCATAGTCAGCTACAGAAGGTCCCAAAATGACAAATATAAAACAATTCAAACAAGAAAACACATGGCCTGATTTATGTACAAAATATTGAACGAAAAACAAATATGATATACAGCAACAAACGACAACCAATGAATTATAGACTCCTGACTTGGGACAGAAACCCAACGTATGTTATTGAGTTTCTGTCTCATTTCCCTTTACCCTAATATTAAAATCTCAGTTTTCATACATTAACTTATAAATACGACAAAAATTATCTAAGTACTTACATCTTACTGTCAATGTTGTAAAATGTTATATCTGATTATCTACGTTCTTCTTATACTTATAAGATATTTCAGAAAAGTCCTCAGTTATTTTTACAAATTGTCGTTATTTTTATTTATAAACGTGTAAACATATATTATTCTAGAAGATGTCAGTTTAATACAGCAATGACTTATACAAAATATACTGATTGACCTTTGGTCTCAACTTTATTCATCAATCATAAGCATGTTATAAAAAAAAACTAAATTTGTCCATTTCTAAATAAAGCAAAAAAAAAGTCCACTGATGAAATTTTAAAATATGGGATGGTTGAGAGGTAAAAAATGTGGGAGACCTAGTCCTTTATTTGAAGAGTTCAGTGCTGATAACATGTCAACTAAAGACTTCGTAGACTAAGGGCAATCTATAGCTTTCAGATTTCTTATTTTGATAAACATGACGAATTTCTTAAACTTTGTAGCTGAACACTTTTCTCTACTTTTAAATATCGGATTTCAATTGTCTTGTTTTCTAATTTTAATAATATTTATACTGTTATAAATATAGTTTACTAATATCATGAATATATAAGTATTTCCTGGCCAATGTGTACATTTATTATTAATTTAGGACAAATAATTATCTTAAACTACATGTACATGTGTCTATATATTACACGTACTTGTATCGTGTGTAATTACTCCTACAATGTTCCTTGCCACACGATTTATAACCACATTTGCATCTGACTCTGAATCAGAAAATCATTATATTCATTTATCTATTATTAATTATTATCCAGTCCTTCTTTCTTAAAATCCTATGTAAATTTTAATTCTAATATCTATGAAATAAAAAATTTGGGGAACTATTTTTTTATTTTTGGAATGATCCTTTTGGAGTCATTTTCAGAAGTTTATTAGGCAATAATCTAACACAGTTTTCGAAAACTGATGATCCCAAGGTTTTGACCACCAAAATTTTGCAAAGGACCGACACTATTTTGGTATTTTGCAATAGAAATAAAAGTGAGGACCAGCAAATTTTTCTTTCAAGAACTAATGATCTGAGTTATATTGATAATAAAAAATTTGTGGTTTTTGATCAGTTGGACCACAAATCTTATAACATAATCCAAATCCCACAATGACCAAATTACATTCCTAAAGAACTGCTAATAAATCTATAAAATTGGTTGTGGATATAACATTTGTTTTTTGGAGGTTTTTTCATTTACTTTCATACATATCAATTAATTTACATGACACACCAATAACCAGGGTGGTACAGATGACTGGAACGAAACCAAAAATACCATTAAAGTTGAGACTCAAATTAAAGTTTCAAGTTCAAAATTCAAATTAAAGTTTAACTATTTTTTAGTCAAGATTTAAATAAAAGTTTAACTATTTTCTAGTCAAAGATTCAAATTAAAGTTTAACTATTTTCTAGTCAAAGATTCAAATTAAAGTTTAACTATTTTTTAGTCAAGATTCAAATTAAAGTTTAACTTTTCTAAAGTTGAGATTAAGATAGAAGTTTTTACTATAAAAGTAAGAGCGTCATGACCCCAAATAACCCCCTTAG